CGTGAACCATTTCAACTCCCCCTCCCATTCCTCAGACGACATGTCCATCCTGGGCCTCCTGCAGTGCCACAACGATGCCACCCGAAGGTTGCAGGAACAGCAACTCATATTCCGCTTGGGAACCCTGCAGCCCAATGGTATCAATGTGGATTTCACAAGTTTCAAAATCTCCCCTCCCCCTACCGCATCCCAAAACCAGTCCAGCTCGTCCCTGCCTCCCTAACCTGTTCCTCCTCCCACCTCAAGCTGCACCTCCGTCTCCTACCGACCAACCTCATCCCGCCCCCTTGACCTGTCCGTCCTCCCTGGACTGACCTATCCCCTTCCTAACCCCCTACCTACACTCACCTTTCCTGGCTCCATCCCCGCCTCTTCGACCTGTTTGTTTCCTCTCCACCTATCTTCTCCTCTATCCCTCTTCTATCCGCCTCCCACTCTCTCCCTATTTATTTCAAAACCCCCTTCCCCTCCCCCTTTTCTGATGAAGGGTCTAGGCCCGAAACGTCAGCCTCTCTGCTCCTATGATGCTGCTTGGCCTGCTGTGTTCATCCAGCCCTGCACCTTTGTTGTCTCGGATTCTCCAGCATCTGCAGTTCCTACTATCTCTGCTACGTTACCTGCACTTGTGTCACACAGGGGAATTGTGATGTCACTCTACTGTTGGTCTCATTGCAAGGAGGTCTCTTGATCCATGCCCTTCATACTCTTCCCATTCACCTCTCACTCTGCAGACTTATTATCCTGCAGTAAGGTCTACTGTTAGGTTTACATAACGTGCCTTCTACCTCTCTGCACCAAATTCCCACGCATACTTCTGGAGGAAGGGTTGCTCAACCCAAAACATTAACTCTGATTTCTCCCCACAGATGCTACCAGGCCTGCTGAGGTTTTCTAGCAATTTATCTTTTTTATCTCAGATATACATACTTAGCGTCTGATTCACTCAGTCTCCCTCACACTGAATGTCCTCCTTACCCAAACCCACACTTCACCTGATGACTTATGGATATTTTCAGAAGTGGGTCTCAGTTTGTACTAATCAGCAAAGGCAATACAAGGTACGTACAATTGCCACAATGTTTTCGGTTAAGAAAATAAACATTTGCAGAACCACCCCACAAACAGGGCATAATTTAGATCAACTTCAGTCAATCACTTCTACTGTGATAAGCTAGCAAAGGGCAACTACTGCCCATGGAACAACATTTGGTGGACGTAAACAAGAGCAAAATTCTTCACGTTTCCACTCTGACCTCTTTGGCTCGGACTCCAGCAGTGTTCCAGTGAATTTGCACATATACACCTTTTATCTTTTTAATCAAGCTCTTCAGTATTTCAGACTCAAAGAATTTGATAACTTTTGACTGCAACTTCTGCCCCAATTTTGTTCCTTCTTAATTCCAGAGAGCAGCTGTCATGATGCTGCCATTCATGTCTCCTGTACAAACTACATTTCTTGTCCCATTACCATTCCCTTTTCTTTAGTACCATCAGCATTTTTGTAATTTAATTACGCGTCTTCCAAGCACTAGCCTTCTATTTTGTTCTCTGTCCCTCCCCTCCCCTCTCTATTTTTCCTGCCTCTGTACTTGATGGAACACCTCCAATTTTTCCCCAATTCTGATGAAATATTAACCCTGCTCCCTTCTCCATAGTTTTGGCCAGGCCTGAGCATTTCCAGTGTATTTCTGCTTTTATTCCATTAACAGTGTCAATGCTATCAGAACAGGTGAAAATCTTATATTGGATAACGTCATAGCAGATTGACACAGTCCCATTTCTCCAACTCAATGAGAGTGTAGCAGTTTCATAAAATGCTAACAGCTATGAGGGTTGGGGATGGAAGAGGTGAACAGTTGAAACGTAAATAAAATACTGAGTATAGATTGTGCATTCATAGATTGCACTTTGTACGTTTTTGCTTCGAGCTCTTTCCAAAAGAAGGTGATACACATTATCAGTAAATGCTAATTTACAGTCCACTGGCTCCATCAGTTACACCATCACCCAAAAGAGCAAGTAACAATAAAGGAAGTTTGAACCATACCTCCCATTTAACTTAACATCCCTCAGTTAATTTTCAGGAAACTACACCATTTATAGAAGTAATCGGAAACGAATACAGTCCTGTAGCTCCTGTTTGATATCATAAGTTATGAATGCACTCACAGCCACTGAAAATAACTTTTTAAACATAAATTGTTTAAACACTATTGAAAGATGTTCCAGGGTTGTATCAAAAAATGTTGAGGCCAACTTCCAAAGACACAGTCAGTTTATTCTGTAACTTCAACTTTTTAATAAAATTGGGAGTACTAAAGTTAACTAATTATAGCAACACAGGCTCCCTCCTCATGCAAAAGCAAGAGTTTTATACACAGGAAGAACTTCAACCCATCTATTGAAACTCTTAGTTATCCATTTAACCCCTCTGTTAAAAATAAATTTAATGCATATTGAACACATATACCAAACATTTTACAAAAATGAACAAGGAGAACTACAGAGACCCTCCATTGATAATTTTGCATTTAGTATGTAAAGCATATGTCAGGAAATGGCTGAGAGAACTACTCATGTTGGCAAGTGATATTATCGCCCAAATGATAAATGCCAACGTACTGGCTAACTTGAGTTTTGACATTCATGGCTGTGGGTTAGAATACTACCATAAAGGGCTCTTGTGATGCTGTATCCCTCCAAGACAGGAAGCAAGGTTCAAGTCCCACTTACTCCTAAAGTTCATTTCTGAACAGGTTAAATAGAAGATTTCTAGAATTCTAAGGTACAGAATCAATAAGGAGAAGCAAATTATGTTTTTATTCACCAGTTGGATAGTAAAGAGAAATTATGTTTGAGAGATTTCTAGTGTCTATCTGTTGGTGTTAGGAAGGGCACTGCGAAGAATAATGAACCTTTGTCCTGATGTCTATTTGGAAAGAAAGATGTAAAAAAGAGGTGGGGCGGGGGGAACATGTGACAATCCACAGCAATTACAAAATAGCTCTTTGCAAGTTGGATCTTTAAAAGTATTAATATGGGATCTCATTTGTCAGAATGAGCATTTGTAAGTTGGATATTCACAAACTGAGGACTGTCTTGTAATAAACTGCCTTATTCCTTCCAAGATAACAAGGTGTAGAGCTGGATGAACACAGCACGCCAAGCAGCATCAGAAAGGATTTCTGAAGAAGGGTCTAGGCCCGAAACGTCAGCCTTCCTGCTCGGCCTGCTTGGTTCATCCAGCTCTACACCTTTGTTATCTCAGATTCTCCAGCATCTGCAGTTCCTACTATCTCTGAAACTTACTCCTTCCAACCTGTGATCACTGACCACACACCACCCTATAACAAGCTCAGGAATTTTTCTGTGTAATAAACACAACAAATAGTTTGAACACAAGTCTCACTGGAGCAGAAGCACAAGGCTTATGTATTAAGGGTTTTACTGTAAAAAGGTAATTATATTTTTCTTGTCACAGATTTTAAAGGGGTATTACAGGATAGACATTCTGAGTGGGGAAAAAACCAAGGAGGATGCAATTGCTTAAAAAAAAAGCAATTTAAAAGAAAATGAATAGCTTTGAGCAAAGGTGATTGGCAGGTTAAAAGATTGAAAATATTAAAAACGAGCAAAAACTGACTCGAAGATTAGAATCAGGTAAAACTGAAGAAAAAGTTAGCTAGAAATATAAAAACAAATAGCAAGTGTCTCTAGAGATATTTAAAAAGAAATGAGTTAACAAAATGAGCATTGGTCTTATAGAAAGTAAGTCTGGGGAATTTATAATGGAAAATACGGAGATGAAACATGAACAGGCACTTTGCATCAGCCTTCCCTATACAGAATATTTAGTGACACCCTAGAAATTGCTCTAAACCACGAAATGGAAGAGAGTGAGGAACAAGAAAATTAGGATCATCAGGGACATGGTACCGTACAGATTGTTGGAGATGCCGACCATCAGTTCCTTTAGTCCTGATGGGCTTCAATCTATAGCTTTAATAGTAGCTTGAGATTTAAAAAAAAAACTCAAGGAGCATTCTGCTTAAAAAAACAAATTAGGCAAAGGTTAATTTTTCGTTGAACCAGAGTCGTTGAGAGTATATTAACAGATGGACGAGCTAGTTCTCCCATCACGCCAGAAACTGTACTTGAAACACGAAAAGCGTGCATTACCACCAAATGCATCGACCATTAAAAATAATAAACGCGCCTACCCTCCCAAAGTCTGAAAACCAAGTGTTTGCCTGAATGTTTCACATGCGGATAATGTTCAGAGCACTAAGCTGCATTTATTTATCCAGAATTGCCACAAAAGTATGCTGAAATGTTTTTAAAGTGGGTGAAATTATTGCTTGAAAGCATTCAGTGTACGGCAATGGGAGAGAAGAGGTTTGAGAGAGCGAGAGGCTGAGAGTTTGCCGGGGTTAATAAAGCGGTGCATGACGATTGAGCGGGAAAGAAGCTAAACTGCCGCAGTGCCCATCTGGTGGTGACGATAATCATCATGGAAAAGGCGGGCAGTGCAGAAACCCGCTCACCACCGCTTCTCAAGAGGCACGGGGTGGGGGGGGAAGAAACAAGAGCATCGGAAAATGCGTCTGCAGAATTTAAAATTACATCGCAACGAAGGCGCGGGAATTTTTTTTGTTTATAGGGAAAAAAAACAAAAAAGAAAAACTACGTTCTTTCGGAATGACCCGGCCGCGCGTTCCGCTCCTCTCGCAGAAGGGGGCTGGTGTGGGGGAGGGAAAACAGAGGTGACTCAGGAGCCAGTTGGAGGAGGTGGGGGGTTGGGACAGACTCCATGCTGCCCCTCAGTGAGGGGAAAAAGAAAACCATTCACCACCAAGATGGCGCCGGACGCCTTCCTCCAACCCTGCCCCCAGCCGACATTTTGTCTCTGCCAACGGCCGCACCACGCGCCTTTGCTGCAGCTCCTTCTCGGCGACATTTTCATCGAAAATAAAGGGAACGATGGGCTGATCGCCACCCTTCACTTCAGTCTCGTTTTCTTTTCTAAATGATTTTTTTTCCGGGGAAAACAAAATTCGTGTCCAGTTCTCCAGCAAGGCCTTAAAGCTCAACCCGATTGAGTGGGGTGGGGGGGTGGTGTGAGGGGGTTGGGAGAAACCCTCGTGGCCTAAGTGCGGCCTCCTCGCGGCCTACCAACCGCCAATGCTCCTAACGGCCGTTCTCGAGCTGCAGCGCGAGCGCCCGCAGGCCGCTTCCCGCCGGCGAAGCGGCCTCAGCTCCGGAGACTTGACTACCCTGCCCTTACCTGGTGAGTCAAACCGGCCGCCGGCGGCCCGATTTCGGGACGATTCGCCTCCTTCGCTGGGCTGGCAGGCTCAGCCTTTCCTGGCTGGGCCGAGTGCTGGAGGGTCGGGTCGGGCCTAGCCCTGCCAATCAGGCTTTGTTGTTTGATGGCTGCGGGGAGGAGGAGGAGGGGCTGACTCGACTCGACTCTGCTCCTCGCTCCCGCCGCCGTCGTAATACGTAACGTCAGAGCCTAACCCCTAGGAAAATGCGGAAGAAGCAAGTGCGGTCAGGCCAGAGACTGGAGAGCAGCAAAAGCCCGCAGACATTTAACATCGTCCCTCGGCGCAGGCCGCTCACCTCGGGCCCTGCCTTCCCCTCCCTCGGCGCCGAGATCGAGTGAGGGTTTTAACGCACCGCCCTGGATTTAATTTTACTTCCCATTTTTCTTCTTGGTGCGTGCAGTGGCCGGAATAATAAATGCAAAAGCATTCATGCGGCCGACATTTGTCACAAATCCCTGGGTTGTGAGTGAGAAGATGCCCGGTCGCCCCCCAACCCCACCCACCTCCCCCTTCGTAGCGCCCACCGATCGGGTTGTCTGTCTATGGAGGGGACGGCAGGCTGAGATGTTCATGTGTGAAAGAGCTCTGCAATATCATTAGTGAGGGGATAATATGGTCGGTCGGTTGAACACTTGGCCGAGGCATTCACTGGTTTTTGTGATTATATTTGTTTTGTCCATGTGGGGGTAAATTGGGTTAATTTCCTTCATTGTTCCAACCCCTGTCCGCCATTTTCCATTCCTCCATACACCATTTTAATTAATGCTCGCCGTTTCCCTCTCCTGTCTCGTCGCCGCCTTCACCTTTCATGACGTGTGGGAGTTGTGTACTAAATTACGTTTCTCGTAACTTCTGGACGTGCGGCCATTTGATTTACCTTTCTCTCTCTTGTACCCCCACCATTGATGTCAAGATTATAAAGGAAGGTATATTATGGGAGGTCAGCCGGTGTGAAGTGCAGTGTTAGTGGCAACAAAGACACGTGCGAAGCGGATCAACTGAACGAGGACGGAATTGGACATCGAACAAGTGTCTTCCAAGAGAATGATAAGGGGGAATAATCGGTTGTGATTTGTGAGAGGATGTTCTGGTACTTTTGTAGGGGCAGAAACATGGAACAAATAACGTGAAATTGTCATTAAAGTGGGCAAGAGATTGAGGAGGTAATAGATAAAAGTGGAATGGGGTGCAGACATTTGTGGAAGGTAACAATTATGGTTTTGAAAGGAAGAGGTACAGTACCTCTGGCAAAGGAACGATTTACAATTCCAAGTAACTGGTCAGCAGTGCATATTGTGTGTGAGGGCATTTGGAGTGAATGAAGTCAGGAGAATGGAAGGTGGGTCATATAATCAGAATGGGTTTGCGGTCAATGTGGCAAAACATGGGAGGTAAGCCGATTCAGGGTGAAAGTGTGGGGAGGTGAACTGATTTTCTTAACAGATGTTGAGTGAGGATAGGAGTGAGATGTTACTGGAGATCATTGGTGGACAAAAATTAACTGGATATGTTTGGACTGGTGATCCTGGAATAGTGATCAGTTTTGCTGTTGTACCATACTTGAAGTCACCCATCCTGCCCTGCCGCTGAATGGCTAAAGTAGTTGTGCACTTGATTAAGTCAAGACTATCCCACTTAGACTTGAATTAAGCTTTAGGTCATACCACAGAAATGACGAGAAGTAAAAGGCATAGAGCTTTTTGGGGATGAAGGTATCCAAATAACTTGAGCAGATTGGATGCAGAGGTATAAGTAAATGAAATCTGCTAACTAGGGTGTTAGGAAGTGGCTTGGAAGGGATTCTGTCGTCCACCTCCTCCTCCTGAACACTGGAGTAAATGTATCACAAAGGAAATGTAGGAGTGAGGAAGTCTGTACGTAGAAGTAGCTTTCGTGATTGGACAGGCCATGGGTGATGGAAATGTAAAATATTGGATTCGCTCACAAGTCAATATGGGTGAGGAAAGATATTTTGGAGAAACAGGGTGGGCTTAGAGTATGCTTTTAGAGAGAGAATGAATTCCAGTAACAACCCTGTTAAACATCTCAGTCCTATCCCCGTCTTCACATCCAGCATGTGCAAGGAAATCACCAATACAATTTAAAAAAATGAATGAAACTGTTTTTGCCCTCACCCTGAACATGTTTCCTTCTTATGCTGACAGCTAGTTTGAATGCAGAGTTCAAAGTTATTTTCATTTGTTATACTAGGTGGGGGATGCTGATGAGAGAAAAGAAGAGGACAGTTGAATTAATGATCACTTAGAATAACTTGTAGATAATATTTACTTTTTGAGAATGTTAGGGAGGGACGGACAATAAACATTCAAGCCTGGAAAGATGGAGGAAGATCAGAAAGTTGAGTACGAAAAGGCTACGTAGGAATTGGGGACAATACGTACAAGGTAAAGCACAAAAAAAACTTGCATTTATTTATGTAATGCCTGGCATTACCTCAGCATTTTACAGCCCATACTTTTAAGGTATCATTGCAATGATGTATGCAAGGTAGAATTTCAATGCAAACATCCACAGTAAGATCACTGTAAGATTACCATGGCAAGAGTTCTTGAGTAAACAGAATTCTAGACAAAATTGAGAAGGGTAACGATGGTTGATTTGTTGGTAGAATCTAGAGTGGCAGTGGCAGTGGCAGGAGGGTTGGCTGCAGCAGGAATAAGGTTGGTAAAGTTAGCCCTTTTGCAGACAGGATGTCTTAGAACGTTAGTGAGAGGACTGTGGGGTGTTGGAAACTGTATAAAAGCAGTAATGATGACTTGATAAATACTTTGGAGACTTTTCATTGAAATGATGGATGCCATGATTGCGTGCAGGGTATGGCAGAAAACGATAACAAGAAATCAAGAGGGGAAAAAGAAAGGTAGAAGGGCTCTGATGTCCAGAGCACCAGACACAATATCCTCACAAAAGAGTACATTCAGGTTTAACAGACACTTGGATAAGTCCATGAAAGGTTTGGAGGGATATGGGCCAGGAGCAGACAGGTGGGTCTAAGTTTAGTTTGGAATTATGTTCATTATGGACTGATTTGACCAAAGAGTCTGTTTCCATGCTGTATGACTCTATGACTCGGAAAGTGATTAGAGATGACATATCCAGGTTTTAAATCAAAGGAGGAATTTCACCTGGATTTTACAGTTTAAATAATCAATGTGCCTGCCATTAAAGAGCAAATTGAAAAGCAACTTCAGCATCCTCTTAGCTAAACATACAAATGGGAAGTTTCTGTCCAATTTGTCCTGTACCTCCATAAGCTGTACTTTGCTCAAAAATTCGGCATTCAAATGTAAGAAATGCATGAGATATTATTTTGCCACTAGATTTCCAATAAATGCTAGAACAAGAATAAATTCATGACAGTGCAGAAAGAAGCCATTTGGCACATTGAGTCTGCACTGATCCTCTTAAACAGCATCCCACCGACCAAGCTCCCTGCCCTATTCCCGTAGCGTCACATTTACCATGCCTAACCCACCTAAAATGCACATCTTTGGATTTCCACCCTCCCTAATCTCTGTCTGTCCCTCATATTCTGCTCCTCCCTCCCTCACCGTGTCCCTCTATCACCTTCCCATCTTTACACTCTCTCCTTCACATTCACTCCCTCTCAATCACACTTCACTCTCACACTACTGCTGCTTCCTTGTTGAACTCTCACACTCCTCTTCAACTCCCACATCACACTCACTAGCTCAGTCAAAAATTCCTCCCTCAAACACAAACTGTCTGTCCCTTGTACATGCCCTCCCTCATACATGCCCTCCCTTAGACAGCCTCTCTCTCCCTCACACTCTGTCACATACTCCCTTAGCCACGCTCTGTCCCTTCCACTCTTTCTCTCCCTCCCACACCCACACACTCATTGATAGTACCAAGGGTTAGGAAGTCCACTCTGCAATTTTAATTGTGGGTGCCTGCGTGAGAAATAGGGAGCCTTGCCCTGCCCTCACTGACTCCCTGAATTGGAGCCTTTCCAACAAGCTAGATCCTCTTTTCCTTGCACCTTCCCAGTGAACTAAAGCTTTCTCCTGCACTTATTTGGCAATTTGAACGCCCTTTTTCCCTACACCTGCCTTACAACTTGGAGACGCTTTCCGTATACCTGTCCAGCAGGCATCCTGTCACTTGTAATCTTTCTTCTGCCCACCCCAGCAGAATCATCACGGCTCCCAATGCTCAGGTTGAATGAAGTTCCTTGTGGTTGCACAGTTTATTGCTCTTCCGGTCAAATGTCAGTTCACTCCAGCATTTACTGCTGCTAGCTCACAAGTAAAGCAGCGCAAACAGACCATCTGTTGGAGTTCATCCACTTTACTAACACCTTCCACCCCAACCTGAAGTTCACCTGGACCATCTCCGATACCTCTCCCTCCTTCCTGGACCTCTCTGTTTCCATCTCTGGCAACCACCTGGAAACCGATATCTATTTCAAGCCTACCGACTCCCACAGCTACCTAGAATACACCTCATCTCACCCACCTTCATGCAAGAATGCCATCCCCTATTCCCAATTCCTTTGCCTCCGCCGCATCTGCTCCCGAGATGAGGCATTCTGCTCCCAGACATCCCAGATGTCCTCGTTTTTCAAGGACCGCAACTTCCCCTCCACAGTGGTCAAAAACACCCTCGACCGCATCTCCTGCATTTCCCACAACTCATCCCTCACACCCCCTCCCCACAATAACAACAAAGACAGAATCCCCCTCGTACTCACGTACCACCCCACCAACCTCTAGATTCAACGCGTCATCTTCCGCCACCTGCAATCTGACCCCACTACCAAGGACAATTTTCCTTCCCCACCCGTATCTGCCTTCTGGAGGGACCGCTCTCTCCGTGACTCCCTTGTCCGCTCCACACTCCCCACTAGCCCCACCACCCCTGGCACTTTTCCCTGCAACCGCAGCAAGTGCTACACCTCACCCCCATCCCAGGCCCCAAGAAAACCTTCCACATTAAACAGATGTTCACCTGCACATCTGCTAATGTGTATATTGTATCCGCTGTTCCTGATGTGGCCTCCTCTACATCGGGGAAACCAAGCGGAGGCTTGGAGACCGCTTTGTGGAACACCTATGCTCAGTTCGTGACAAACGACTGCACCTCCCAGTCGCGAACCACTTCAACTCCCCCTCCCACTCCTTGGACGACATGTCCACCTGGGCCTCCTCCAGTGCCACAACGATGCCACCCGAAGGTTGCAGGAACAGCACCTCATATTTCGCTTGGGAACCCTGCAGCCCGATGGTCTCAATGTGGACTTCACAAGCTTCAAAATCTCCCCACGCCCAACCTCATTCCAAAACCAGCCCAGCTCGTCCCGCCTCCTTGACCTGTCCGTCTTTTCTTCCACCTGCCCACTCCTTTCACCTCACTGACCAACCCCCCGCCCCCCCCTCCCCCCTACCCGCCTCCTCCCCGCCTCCTTGACCTGTCCGTCTTCCCTTGACTGACCAACCCCCATCCTACCTCCCCACCTACACTCACCTTTACTGGCTCCATCCCTGCCTCCTTGATCTGTCCGTCTCCTCTCACCTATCTGCTCCTTTATCCACCTTCCATCTGCCTTCCCCCCCACCATCTCTCTATTTATTTCAGAGTCCCCTTCCCCTCCCCATTTCTGAAGAAGGGTCCAGACCTGAAACATCAGCTTTCCTGCTGCTCTGATGCTGCCTGGTCTGCTGTGTTCGTCCAGCTTTACACATCATTATCTCATCTGTTGGAGAAGCCTGCTTTACAAAAAGAAAGAGCTTGTCTGTTTAATTCAAACAAGTGTTTAATTAGGTTGTAAGTCTTGATTTTGGCCCAACAGCATTTCTGGTACTGAAAATTTTGAGGTATGAAATATTCCCTCAGAATCTAATTGTTAGAATTTTAAAAATCCTCTTTGACCCTCTTACCTCCCATTTTATGCACGTCTTTCTTTCCTTCTCGTTATTTTATTTCTGACACACCATTTTACATTGAATTATGTGTTCATACTTGCACTTTATTTTGGAATAGAAGCAGAAGAGGAAAAAGCAAATGCTTGGTAATGTTGATGGAAGAAAGACAAAAAAGGAAAGCAATGCCAATAGATCTACTCAGGATACGGTAGAAACTAATGGGAAAAAAACTTAACATGGTATTGCATCGAATTATTTCAAACTTGCACTTTCTGGTTTACATTTAACATGCTACAATAAATAATTTTCAGGTTGATTTGTCAAGAATTGATTCATCTGTAGAGGGCATTGCATTGAAATTGATCTCTAATTTCTTAAGTTGTTGTGCAAAGTTTAAAGACAGCTGTAAGTGTCAAGAAGTGTTTCAAGCCAAGCAACACCATGTTAAATCTCCTCTGCACCCTCTCCAATGCAATAACATCCTTTGGAAACAGAATTGTTTACTCTTTACTGAGATTCACCTGCAGAGGGCAATCTTTGGAATTGATCTCTAATTTCCTAAATTGCTGTGCAAAATATTTAAGACAGCTTTAGGTGTTAATTATTACTAAAGATAGCAATGATGAAGATTGATAAATCTATTTCCTTGATAAAAGTACAAGAAATATGAGCAGAAGAAAACTATAAGGCCCATAAAGTTTGCTCACATATTCCTGCTGTTTTGTTGGGTTTCAGCTACTTCTGCTAGACTCCCTTGATTCCCTGAAATATTTTATTGAAATGTCTCAGTCCTGTGTGAATGACCTTACACACTAAAACCCATCCCTTGTTTCTAGATTACCCTGTCAGGAGAAACAATGGGCTGTATTTTTCCAGCCACTAAACAACGTGGGCAATGGTAAGTCATTTGGGAAAATCTGGTGAATTCAGAAAAATGAGAAAAGGATGGATTTTTCATCTGAGATTTGAATTGTGGGATGAAAATCTCACTTGTATGAAAAGTCTATTTGCATTAAATATCATTATTACTTGTCCTTGCTACATTTATAAGCAGTTTGCTATTCTCTCACCTGGCAGAAAAAAAAAACTAGATGAAGAACAAGAAAGAATTTTGCAGCTCAAGCTTACTGTTTGCTCTTTCAGGCCTTCATTGTGGCCTTCATTCAGGCCTTCAAATTCTCTGGGTATGCTCCATGCGGAGTGACTATCTGCATCCTTCATGCAATATGCAGATGACTAGGAAAATCAGATTGGTAGTGGATCTCAAGAAAAGAAAGTTGTGCAATGTATACGAGCTGGGTTTTTTTTTTGGAGCAGCTTGTGGGAGACCCCACTAGGGAATAGGTAATTCTGGATTTAGTAATGCATAATGAGGCAGACTTGGTCAGGGAGCTTAAGGTGAAGGAACCCTGAGGAGGCAGTGTCCACAATATGATTCAGTTTTGGAGTCATACAGGATTGAAACAACCCTTTGGTCCACCATGTCTATGCCAACCAACAAACCCAAACTACACTAATCCCATTTCCCTGCACTTGGCCCATAGTGTACTACACCCATTTTAAGTACTCATCCAGATGCTTTTTCAATGTAGTGAGAGTATCTGCCTCCACCATTCTTTCAAATGGTATGATCCATATTTCTACCACCCTCTGGATGAAAAAAAATCCTGCTATTTCCACTAAACCATTTGCTCCTCACCTTTAAACTACGTTCTCTGGTCTTAGCCACATCTGCCGTGGTGAAGAGATTCTCATTTTCTATTATGCTGTTCCTCTCATAATTTTGTATACCTCAATTAGATTCCCCTCAACCTCCTCTGCTTCAAGGAAAACAAACCCAGTTTCAAAACTGATACATTTCATCCTGGGCTACACCCTGGTAAACCTCTGCACCCTTTCCAATGCAATTGTGTCTTTTGGATAGTGTGGTGAATTGAGGAGAAGGCGGGAGAGTGGGGTTGAGAAAGATGCTACCCATGACTGAATGGTGGAGCAGACCCAATGGGCTGAATAGCCTGATTCTGTTCCTATATCTTATGGAGGTTGGTACTTGATACACATCAACCTCACCACACCATTTTAATCATGAGACAAGGGCATTGTTTGGATTATCATTTATTGTTCATTCCCAGTTGCCCTTGAAAAGGCAGTGGAGAGCTGCCTTTCTAAATTGCCGTAGTCCATTTGGTGTAGGTGCACTCAGTGCTGTTAGGTAGGGAGTTAAAGAATTTTGATCCCATGATACTGAAGGAATGGCGATATATTTACAAGTCAAGATGGTGAGTGGATTACAGTCAGCGGTGCTTCCATGAATTTGCTGCCTTTGTTTAGATGGAAGTGGTCATGGGCTTGGAAGGTGTTGTCTAAGGATCCTTGGTGATGGCACACCATGATCATAGCACACTTCTGATTCACTTGGAATAAAATTCTATAATACTGCACTTTGGAATGTACAGACATCATGCATTGTAATTTTTCTGCTACCAGGCTACTTGGAAACAGTGACAGGTGCCCATATCAAGGTTTGGAGCACAGGCCTTTTAGTTTGCTATCTTAGCACTCTTACACTTTGTACCCACTTGGATTGCTAACAGCATCTTTGTCTTGCCTTTTTGCACATTGCCACCTCATTCAAAACTTGCAAGCTCATCAAACTTCAGTCCTGCCTGCCCTTTTAGCACAGACACAGAGCTAGACAACTTGAGGGAGTTGTCAGCAACAATCAGTCAAAGGGGCAGAGATGGTGCTTTTGATATCGTGCTATATCAATGTCATATTTGCAACAATGCCTGGCAGCTTGTGTGGCTAACACATTGTGTGCACTTCAGAAAAATGTACTTCATGTCTCAAAGTCTAAGAAGAGTAGAAGGTATGTTATCTGTTGGGGAATACTGACACGGTAAGTCAAAAGGCATTATCTGTTAATGGTCCAGGCACTTGGATAAAGTTGGGTGCTTTAGGCTGTTAGGGTCAGATATTTCCAATATGTTTTAATGAGTGAAGAAAATGAGAAGACATCCGACTTTAGTGATATAACGTAAGTAAGAACGTTAAGGTGTATTGTCTTTATCATTACAGTGTAGAGTATCCATGATCAGTCTGCAGGTCCACTGCAACCTGTTAGGGGATTTGTGGTAAGTCAGCTGGGGAGCTGCACAAAGATCAGTCAGGAGTCTGGACAGCATCAGTTGGTAAAGTCTTTGCAAGTTGGTCATGGGGATGAGCCATGGTTAGTCTTGAACAATGACAAAATGTTATGCTGAACAGAATGTGAGGGAAAGAATAGTCCACTGTTAGACAGAGTTCTAATATGTATGGAGCTAAGGACAGATAGCCGGTGAAGCTTCATTCTTGCAATTGCAATGACGTAAAGAGGCAATACTTTTACCAACGTGAAATTCTATTTCCAATGTAGTATTACGCTTGCCAGTTGCCACCTCTGTGCCCTGAGAAACTGTTCCTTTTCATTTCCATCGCACTATATGTTCTGTGAGGGGCTGCTCATGGCGAGCAACAATTGACCTGATGCACAGCTGGACTTTAAATATGTCACCAGTGACAGAAATCCTAGAAGGTCCCAACACTGATGAGTACTTAAGTTGCTGGTGAGTGCAAGATATGGTGCTGTTGAGGCATGGTGCACACCCACTGAGATTACTTAGATTTCTTTGAAATTCCAGAGAATATTGACTAAATGTATTTAGTCTTTTATCATAAGGATCAATCTAGTGAACCTTTTCTGTAGGTTTCCAATACTAGTCTATTCTTACTTAAAAATGAAAATCAAAATTGCACACACTATTCCAGGTGATCCATCAAAACCCGAAACTGCTATAGCAAGTCTTCTTTTTCTACCACTCCAACCTTTTTACAACTATGGTCAACATATCATTTTCTTTCCAAATTGTTTGGTGTGCTGCATGCAAAACTTTTGTGTTTCTGCTGTAAATACAAACAAAGTCTAAGAACACCAACATTTAATCATTTATGCTTTAAACAACATTCTCACTACCAAAGTAAATACTTTAACATTTTACCACTTTACACGCCATCTGCCACCTATTGCCTACTCACATTACCTGTCCATTTCAAGGAGTCAGAGGTATACTTCATAGAATCATTTATACCTCTTTATTTCTTCCTCACACCTTATATTCTTACCTACCTTATATCACCAGCAAAGTTAGATATTTTCTTCACTTAAGTAATTAATTTATTGTAAATAGCTGAGACCCTAGTAGTGATCCTTGCAGCATGCCACTAGTTATAGTCTACCAATTTGACAATGCCCCATACTTCTTGTCCATTTAGATTATCCATTTTGGATAATTTTCCCCATCTCTGTCCTTAAAGCACAAACCCTAATTTTAAAACACAATCCCTAATTTTTGGGCTCATCCACAAAATGAAATGTCATTTCCATGCCCACCTTTTCAAGACTGTTCAGCGCTCATACACTTAAATCAAATAGCACTCATTCTCCTAAACTCCAGCCTTAACAAAAGACATCCCATTCATTCCAGGTATCATTCTAGTAAATATACTTTAAACCACCTCCAACATACTCATTTCTGAAGAAGAGTCCTGACCCGAAACATCAACTTTCCTGCTCCTCTGATGCTGCCTGGCCTGCTGTGTTCCTGCAGCTACATGCCGTGTTATCTGCAACATACTCATTACCTCATATGCTTCCTGAAATAAGGAGACCAAAACTGCACACAACGTTTGAGATGTGATCTCACAAATGGTCTGTATAACTCAAGCATAACTTCCTTTCTTTAATATTCTTCTGGACCTGGAGACTTGACAACCTACAGCTCCATCAGTTTGCTTTGTATCATTTTCCTAGTAAATTTCACCACATATCTCTGTTCCTGCAGCTCCAGTTTTACAGCTGTTACTCAAAATGCTTTTTATATCTTCTATAGAGAAAACAGAAGGAAAAATTTCTTCATTACAATTACCATTTCTTTCTTACTTCCACATTCTCACTCTCTAGAGGACCAAAATTAATCTTAAAATATTCGGGCGTGGGCTGAAAAATGACAAGTAACATTTGTGCCACAAGACTGCTCAACAATGACCATCTCCGTTAACAGATAATCTAACCTTCTGCCTCTTGACGTTCAATGGCATTACCATCGCTAAATCCCGCACTATCAGCATCCTGGGGATTACCATTGACCAGAAACTCAACTGGACTAGCCATATAAATATAGTGACAACAACAGGTTAGGACTACTGCAGCGAGTAACTTTCCTCCTATTCCTCAAAAACTATCCAATAAGTATACGTCACAAGTTAAGAATGTGAAGGAATACTCCGCAATTGCCTGAATGAATGCAACTCTAAAAACACTCAGGAAGTTTGATACCATCCAGGACAAAGTAGCCTGGTTGATTGACACCACATTTATAAGCATCTCCATCACTGATGCTCAGTAGCAGCAGTGTATACTGCCCACAAGGTGCATTGCAGAAATTCATCAAAGCTCATTAAATAGTACCCTCCAAACCAACAATCAGTTCCATATCAAAGGATAAAGGAAACAGATATACGGGAACATCACCACCTTAAATTTCCCCTTCGCCACTCACTGTCCTGACTTTGTTGCCATTCTTTCCATGTGTTTAGGCTAAAATCCTCAAAACTACACCCTAACAGCATTACAGATCTATCTATGTCACATGGAAGACAGTGGCTGAAGATGCAGCTCCCTACCACCTTGTCATGGGCAACTAAGGTCAGGCAATAAATACTGGCCCAGCAAGTGATTCCCATGTCCCATGAATGAATTAAAAGAAACCCATAGAAACTTATTAACTGATTTTAAATTTCTAGCTAGCTTCATCTTGTGCTGTAATTTGTTCTGACTCATTTTTCATTAATTCTCTGCTG